AACTTTCTGTAGACCTGACTTCCAACTAATAGCAGTGTCTCTGAAAGTAAACACGAACCCAGTTATAGACCTCCTCCTATCTAAGTCAGAGGCATAATCTGCATCGCAATAACCCTTTAGCTTGAGCTCTTTGCTTCTTTCAAACACCAGTCTAGTATCTGAAGTCCCTCTCAGATACCGCAGCACCCACTTTACAGCTAACCAATGATCCTTAACTGGATTTGCCATAGATCTACTCACCATACCCACCGGATATGCAAGATCAGGCTTTGTTCTAATCATAGTGTACATGACACTTCCTACGGCGTTTGCGTAAGGAATATCCCTCATATACTTCATTTGACTTTCAAGCTCCTCCTCAGCTGCTGTCTTCAACTTGAAATGAGCTCCGAGGGGAGTCTTAACCGACTTAGCTTGATCAAGATGAAACAGCTTTAGAATCTTTTCGATATACCCTTTCTGAGATAACTCAATTCTGAAGTTTGTCTTGTCTCTCTTGATCTCCATGCCCAAAATCTTTTTGGCTGTACCCAAATCCTTCATCTCAAAAGCATCGCTTAACTGTGCCTTCAATGAACTGACCTCTTGCTTGTTTCTAAAAGCTACTAACATGTCATCAACGTAGAGAAACAAGTATATATACTCTCCATCTGCAAGCTTCTTCACATATACACAACTGTCATGTCCACTCCTTTTGAGTTTGATCCCCTTCATAAACTGATTAAACGAATGATTCATTATCTGGGGCTTTGCTTCAAACCATAAAGAGATTTCCTCAACAGACACACCATATTCTCTTTACCCTTTTCTGTAAATCTTTCTGGTTGCCTCATGTATATGGTTTCATCCAATTCGCCGTGCAGAAAAGCTGTCTTAACATCTAATTGCTCTAGTTCCATGTATTCATGGGCAACAATTTCAAGCAAAACCCTTATAGAGACATGTTTCACAATAGGTGCAAAGATTTCATTGTAATCTATGCCCTCCTTTTGTGTGAAATCTTTTGCCACTAACCTGGCTTTAAAACGAGGCTCTTTCACTCCAGGTATGCCTTCCTTCCACTTGTATACCCATTTACTTGCTATAACCCGAGCCTTTGCAGGAAGCTCAACCACATCCCAAGTTCCATTTTTAGCTAATGAGACCATTTCCTCATTCATAGCCCCATTCCATTTATTCCAGTACTTGTCTTTTGTAGCTTCAAAATAGTCCTTAGGTTCAGAAGATTCTCTTTCATCAGTGGTCATAAACACATACACCACCATCTGATTCTCCCTGTACCTCATCGGAACACGAATCTCTCTTCTGGCTCTATCTCTAGCCAACTGATAGTCTTCGAGACTTGGAGGCATCTCAATGATCTCCCCATCTTCATTTACCTCTGGCTCACTATCTGTGTCAGATTGCTCTTGAACTCTGTCACTTTGGTCTGAATTTCCTGCAGACATGTTCCTCTCTGAGTTCACTTCTAGCTTCACCATTCGGTTACCTTCTGTGCTCTCCTTTTGAACTTTTATTGCATCCTTATACAGCACATCTTCTTTGAATATTGCATTTTGACTGACCACACACTTTTTTTCGTCGATTAACCACACCTTAAACCCTTTTACACCAGCTGGATATCCCACAAAGACCCCTTTCTTAGCTCGTGGGTTTAGCTTACCTTCATCTGGGTGAACGTAGACAATGCAGCCAAACCGTTTAAGATAACCATAGTTTTGCTTTGTATTATACTAAACTTCATCAGGAATTCTGCAGTCTATCGCCGTAAATGGTGATTTATTGATCAGATGAACTGCAGTTGAGGCAGCTTCAGTCCAAAATACCTTTGGTAACCCTGATTCACTGAGCATATTTCTGACTTTGTCCATAATAGTCCTATTCATTCTCTCTGCCACTCCATTTTTCTGTGGAGTATAAGCCACTGTTTTATGTCTCAGAATTTCATTCTCTTTACACATAGTATCAAACTGAATATTGCAGAACTCAAGATCATTATCTGTTCTAAGTTTCTTAAGCTTCCTCTCTGTCTGGTTTTCAACCATTATCCTCCATTCATTGAACTTAAGAAACGCTTCATCTTTAGTCTTAAGGAACTGAACCCACACCTTACGGCTATGATCATCAATGATACTCAGAAAATACTGACAGCTTCCCAATGACTTCGGTACATAAGATGAACCTACAGAGCCGAATGCACATAGTCTAGAGGACACTTTGAAATATGCTTCCCTGTTTCAAACTTTAGCCGATGAGCTTTACCGAAAACACAATCTTCACAGAAGCTGAGCTGAGAAACCTTTTTACCGTCTAGTAATCCTCTCTTGACTAATAAATTGAGTCCTTTTTGACTCATATGTCCAAGCTTGCTGTGCCACAAATGAGTATCATCAGTTCTTACTGCATTTGTACAAGCTCCACCTTCTTGTAGTTTCCCTTTTTCACACAAGAAATATAAGGACTGATGTCTCTTGCCTTGTAAAACCACTCTGCCATCCTTCTTAATCTTGAGATTTCCATTCTCGGAACAATACGAGCATCCTTGCTCCTCCAAAGTTCCCAGAGACATCAGATTCCTTTTCATCTCAGGTATAAACCTGACTTTAATCAGAATGACCTGTGATCCATCTTCGTTAATGATTTTCACAGAACCGATACCTCTCACCTTTGATACCGTATCATTGGCCATCCTAACTTCCCCAGACCTGCTCTCATCTAAGTCCAGGAACCAATCTCTTCTCAATGTCATATGAAAATAACAACCAGAGTCAATGACCCATCTTGTCTCTAGATCAGCTACAGTGATATTCAGAACCTCTTCAACAAACAACATATCAACCTTAACTTCACCAGAGTCGTTTATCAATGATGATTCACCGCGTTGCTGCTGATTCTTCATACCATCTTTAAAACATTTGGGACACTGCAGTTTGAAGTGCCCGGTTTCCCCACAGATCCATCAGGTTTTCTTAGTCTTATCCTTGTACTTCACCTTCTTATTTTTCTGAGAAAGTTTTGTTTATCCGACTTGGCCCAGTTAGACATAAGTCTATCTTTGACATAGAGTCTCTCTGCATCTCCCTTCTGTTCCTTAGAATTTGAGCCTGATTCTTGCTCTTTTGACTTGATCGCAGAGATAACTTCTTTCAATGTCAAGGTGACCTTGCTGTATCTCAGAGTATCCTTTAAACTCTGAAACATTGGAGGTAAGGACATCAACAGCATTATTGCTTGATCTTCATCCGAGATTACTACTTCCGCATTTTCTAGATCAGCAATAAGTCTCAAGAATTCATTTACATTTCTTTCTAATGAAAGACTATGATGCAACTTAAAACCGAATAACCTTTTCTTCAGATGAATTCTACTTGTAAGAGACTTTGAGCTATATAGTTCATCAAGTTGATTCAACATACCGTCTGCCGATTGATCTTTGACGACTTTCCTGAGGACGGTGTTTGTAAGACTCAACACAACCGCGCTTCTTGCCAGGCTTCTGCGTCATCACCTTTTGAATCTATCCATGTATCTCCATCTTTAGCTCCCTTCCCCTCACTACAAGAAAACAGTTAATTAACGACTACGGTTTGCGACTGATAATGTAGTCGCTAAATTTTGTGACTACTTAATGACTGATTAACGACGACCCTACAACTGCAGAAAATCAGTCGCCAAAATGTCGCTAAATAGTGATTGCGAATGTCGTCACTTCTTAGTCGCTATCTAACGATGGATTAGCGACTAATATGTAGTCACGATTAATCAGTCGCTAAAACGTCGATAAAGTTGCGATTAATTTGCAACATATGCGGCGAGTCGGTATTATTTAACACGTGTAATACGTTTTAGGGTGGTTGTACCGGTTTTTCGCGACGAACCGTTGGCAGTCGCAATATAGTGACAAAACAGTCGCATATTAGTCACAAAATTTTCTATATATTGAGATCCCATCTACGTTCTACTTCATTAGTATGCTTGCTATCATTTTGGTAGTTACTTTATAAAATTCCTTTAGCTGTAAGAAATATTTCTTACAAAAAAGGTGAAAAAAGAGTTAAGAAAAAAAAAACTCTTATAATAGAAAGAGAGTTATAATTTTAATTTCCAAAATGTCTGAAAATTATAATTATAATAATTTTAGAGCTTGGATGTATAACCGAATCGATGAAAAGACGGGTAATTTTTCGGATGCGTTTATAGAAGGAGTGGAGCAATTCATGAATTTTGCAAATAATCAGACTATAACACAAAGCAATTGTGGTAAATTTTTCTGCCCTTGTAGTGTTTGCAAAAACAACAAGTTTTTGTTGGGGAGTAAGATTTGGAATCATCTATATAGTAAAGGGTTCATGCCAGATTATTATGTTTGGTATAAGCATGGGGAAGAAATAACTATGGATTATGGAACTAGTTATAATAACAGTCATCTAAGTGGGAGTGAAGAAAAAATGGATAATATAGCTGAAGATAGATATGTGGATATGGTGAATGATGCATTTTGTGATAATTTTCGTCAAGATGATAGCTATTGTCTAGATGAGAGTAATGAAAATGTAGAAGAACCTGTACGTAACCATCCCAAAAAGTTTTACGACTTGTTAGAAGCTGGGAAAAAACCATTATACGATGGTTGTCATGAAGGGCATTTACAGTTATCTTTAGCTGCTCGGTTCATGCAAAATAAGGCAGATTATAATATGAGTGAAAAATGTATGGATTCATGGGCCGCATTGTTTACTGAGTATTTACCAGATGGAAATCAAGCAACCAGTTCTCATTACGAGACAGAGAAATTGATGGGAAACCTAGGCCTTCCTTTTCATAAAATTGATGTTTGTATCAACAATTGTATGATCTTCTGGAAAGAGGACGAACATTAGGAGAACTGTAAATTTTGTCAAGCACCAAGATATAAGCAAGTCAAGGAAGGACGGCGATCAAGAACCAGAATACCATATAGTCGTATGTGGTATCTATCTATAGCTGATAGATTAAAGAGAATGTATCAGAGCGAGAAGACAGCAGCGGCTATGAGATGGCATGATGAACACCAAGCCAAGGATGGAGAAATGTCACATCCCTCTGATGCTGCTGAGTGGAAATATTTTCAAGATCTACATCCTCAGTTTGCTGAAGAACCCCGAAATGTTTATCTTGGATTATGTACAGATGGGTTTAATCCATTTGGCATGTCTCGTAATCATTCTTTATGGCCTGTGATTTTGACCCCATATAATTTACCTCCTGGTATGTGCATGAAGACAGAGTATTTGTTCCTGACAATATTGAATTCAGGGCCAAATCATCCACGAGCCAGTCTTGATATATTCCTCCGACCTCTTATTGATGAGTTAAAAGATCTATGGTCTACTGGAGTGAATGCATATGATGTGTCCCTGAAACAAAACTTTAATTTAAAAGCTGTGCTGCTGTGGACGATAAGTGACTTTCCAGCATACGGTATGTTATCAGGATGGACTACTCATGGTAAATTGTCTTGTCCAATTTGCATGGAAGATACAAAGGCTTTTTATCTCCCTAATGGAAGGAAGACATGTTGGTTTGATTGTCACAGAAGGTTTCTTCCACAAGATCATCCATTAAGAAAAAATAAAAAAGACTTTTTGAAGGGTAAAGGCATGAGTGACTACCCACCAGAGTCTTTGACTGCTGAGCAAATATATTCTGAGCGGATAGAATCTGTGAATCCTGGTAGAACATTTGAGTGCGGTGGAAATGGTCATGAAAAAAAGAAGGCTGGATATGGTAAGTGGCACAACTGGCACAAAGAAAATATTTTCTGGGAGTTGCCGTACTGGAGGGACCTTAATCTCTGGCATAATCTTGATGTGATGTATATAGAAAAGAATTTTTTTGACAACATCATGAATACTCTTATGAGTGTGGGGGGTAAATCAAAAGACACAATCAAGTCAAGATTGGATATACAACGATTCTGTGATCGGGCACACTTACATGTTAATGGTAATGGTGCAGCTCCTTTTCCTATATACACATTGCAAGAAGCTGACAAAAGAAGATTACTAGAATGTGTGAAAGCGGTACAATTCCCAGACGGTTATGCATCTGATCTAGCTAGTTGTGTTGATATAGAGAAGGGAAAACTTTCTGGTATGAAGAGTCATGACTGCCATGTTTTTATGGAGCGGTTACTTCCGTTTATCTTTGCAGAACTCCTAGATCGGAACGTTCACCTTGCATTATCAGGTACGAACCTATTCTTTTGCGCAATTATATCTCTACAATATGATTACTATATAAACAAACTAACTAATTTATTTGAAATATTGTAGGGATTGGATGTTTTTTTCGTGACTTATGTTCTAGAACTTTGCAAAAAAATCGCGTCCAAATTATGAAACGAAACATAGTACTAATCCTATGCAACTTGGAAAAAAACTTTCCACCATCATTTTTTGATGTAATGGAGCATCTGCCTATACATCTGCCATACAAAGCTGAACTTGGAGGGCCTGTACAGTATAGGTGGATGTATCCTTTTGAAAGGTTTTTCAAGAAGTTGAAAGCAAAAGCAAAGAACAAATGATATGCGTCAGGATCGATTGTTGAATCATATATCAATGACGAGATCGCTTATTTTACAGAGCATTATTTTGCCACACATATACAAACAAAATCAAGGTTATGTCCTCATTATATTCATAAATAATTATAGGGTTAGAAGATAACAAATTCTACTAATAAAACTTTTGTCTTGTTTGTTCAGGCTAACAAGATTCAATGAAGGTGAAGTCCCAATCTTTACCGTCCCTGGAGTTCCTGCTATATTTACTCATATAGGTCGTCCTAGTGGGCAAATGCACGAAATATGGCTTTCAGAAGAAGACCATCAAATTGCACATGCATATGTTTTGCGAAATTGCGAATATTTTCAGCCATTTGAGAAGTATATAGAATTAACATTATTAGATTCAACATGTTTACTAGATTCCACATGAGTTCTCATATAAACATGTATGTGTCTGTCTTGTACAGAATGTTTGAAGATTATATATGTGCAAAATTTCCAGATCTTTTCACAAAAGATCTCGCTGCAAAACGAGCCGCCGAATATCCAGCATGGGTGAAAGATTATATATGCTTAACTCTAATTCATATACATATAGCAATATATATATATATATATGTATATTGCATACTATCTAATTTAAAAGCGATAACATTCATGTATATATATGCAGGTAACTTACTGGAATACCACGAATTCTTTTCCAATTTGGGTTCAAGATATAATTCATGGGCCAGTGAATAAGGCTAAAACGTGGCCCATCTACTTCACTAGGGGATATTTGTTTCATACGCAGAAGCATAGTGTGGGCCGAAAAACCTGTAACTATGGGATATGTGTGAAAGGAGAAAATTATACGGATGCATCTGATGAAGCCGATTTCTATGGAATCTTAACTGATATCATACAACTCGAGTACGAGGGAATGGTAAATTTGAAAATTACACTTTTTAAATGTAATTGGTATGACCCTGTTATTGGTAGAGGCACACGAAGAAACAATGGTGGCGTCACTGACGTTAATTCATCAAGAAGATACAATAAGTACGAACCATTTATCCTAGGTATGTTGATACATATATATATATATATACTTAAAATATATATGTTTTTTTGTTGAAAGAATATTTTTATTTTGCTGATCTTCCACAGCTTCTCAAGCTGACCAAGTTTGTTATATTCCCTATCCATACCGAAAGAAACCGAAGCAATTGTGGTTGAACGTGGTAAAAGTAAATCCAAGAGGAAACATTAATGGAGATTATGAAGAGAAAGAACCAACTCTTTTACAACAAGTAAATGATGATGCTATAATGCTGACTACAATTGAGGATCTTGTGGTCGATAATCGAGTACTCGGAGTAAACTCCATAAATCTTGATTTTGATGTTGAAGATGCAGAACCAGCTGATGAATTTCAGTGTAACTTATCATCCTCAGATGATGATGAAGATGAAGATGAACCTTACTAATTATTTTGTTTAAACTAGTTGATAATATGATGAAGATTAAGATGAACATTACCAATTTCATTTTTTTTTTAAATTGTTTAAATCATTTGATATTAGTTGATATTATCAATTTAACTAAATCAAAATTAAACCAGATTAAGATTAATCTTAAAACCAAAATTAAACCATAAAACTAAACCATATCAAACCAGATTAAAATTTGGTTAACCCATAAAACCTAATTAAACCATACTTAACCAAAATTAACCCACTAACCCTAAATTAACCCGAAGCCCACTAACTAAATCCTAAGCCCACTAACTAAAATTAACCCACTAACCCTAAATTAACCCGAAGCCCACTAACTAAATCCTAAGCCCACTAACACTTAACAAAATTTCTTCTTCCCTCTAGTCGATCTAAACGACTAAACCCTAATTCCTCTTTCTCTTCTCTCGATCATTCCGCCTCTTCTCTCACACCGATTCTCTCTTCTCAACCTGTTTTTCGATTCTAAATTCTAACCCACACCGATTCTCTCTTATCTTCACTCTTTCTCTCTTCTCCACCGATCCGAAACCCACAAACCGATGGTTACTCGTCGTTCGAAGAAAGGAAGAGGAGGTGGAAAGGCATCGACTGCAAAGATGCCTCTCCCAAGTCGATACGCCTTCACTCCGTCGCCGTCTAACCAGTCTCCACCACTGCTTCAGCCGGAGAGGGCACCGTCGATCTCGGTGAGAGATTATCCACCACCGACGCATCTGTTCCAGAACCGCAGCCAACATCAAAGCTCTTCTCTGCCGCTTAATGCTCCGTCGACTCAACCGCCTCAACCCCGAAGCTCCCATAACTCCGAACACCGACCAGCCGCAATCTCTGAAGAAGAAACATCTCCGCATGCTGAAGGGACTTACTCGCACTCCCATGAAGGCCACAACGACGGTGAAGAAGCTCTATTCAGCCCCGATCTCGCTCCTGACCATCAGAGAATCCTGAACGCTTTTCTTACACAACCAGGAAGGGAAGCTTTCACCACAGTGCTATCTCCTTTACCGAAGCCTAATACAACATGGTAATGCTTTCATTTTCAGCTTGTATTGCTTAGTTTAGTTGTTTAGGTTTGAACTTGATTGGGTGTGGAACTCGGATTAGGTTTCAACATGGTATGCGACTTCATTGCTTAGTTTACAAATTTAGGTTTGGAACTTGATTTTAGGTGTTGTATGCGAATTCGTTGCTTAGATTAGGTAACAATTATGTATGTTTTGATAACTGGTAACTTGTTTGTATCTGACTTTGTAGGTTTGGTCGGGACAAATCTAAACTTACCCGAAAGATCACCAAGATCTTTACAAACAAGTTCGACGGTCCCTTTTACAGCTGGACCTGTGTGCCTCGAGAGAGACAAGAACGGTACTTCATTGAATTTTCGGTAAGTATTTCATTCTTATTCTCATTTGTTTCTTTGATGATTTTCAGTCATTTTAGGCATTTGAAGCAGTTGTTTGTTTGAGTCGTTTGAGTTATTTATAGCAATTGTTTGTTTGCTTCATTTGAAGTTATTGAGGCATTTCATTCTTTGAGTTAGTTGAGGCATTAGATTAGATGTTTCTTAGTTTAGGCTCGCTTAAAAGATCTTCTACTCATTTGATTCATTTGAGGCATTTTAGGCATTTGTGGCATAAGACTTCATCGTTTCTTCTCCTTTGATTAATTTGACTTGTTTTTTTCACTCGCTAATACCATTTTCTATGTTTCTAATGTAGAAAACACACACCTGGGATCCATTAGTAACCGGTGTTGTCCAAGAAAAGTTTGAGAGCATTTGTCTCAATCGGATGAAGGATATGGTGAGCAAGGCAAGGACTACTCGGGAGCAGCCCAACTGGATTGGCGACACTCTCTGGAAACAAATGAATGAATACTGGAACACTGAAGAAGCCAAGGAAAAGAGTGCCACTACATCAGCTGCAAGGATGTCTGAACGTGATGGTCTTGGACCTCATGTCCACTTCTCAGGCCAGAAGTCGTACATACAAATCCAACAAGAGATGGTTAGTTCTCTTCCCTTTTCATTCATCACTTATGTCTATACATCTTTAAACTCTTTTGTTTGACTTTTTTTTTCATTGCAGGAAGAAGAACTTGGAAGGCCGGTGAGTCTTGGTGAAGTTTTCATCAAGACTCATACAAAATCGGATGGCACTTTTGTAGACCGAAAGTCCAAGACGCTGGCTGAAGCGTATAAGAAGAAACTGGAAGAAAAGATGGCTGATCTTGGGGTAGATTCCGAGACTTCAGATGGTACATCACCGCCTGTGGTGCTGTCCGTAGAAGAGGAAAATGAACTCTTTCTTCAGGTAAATACTTTTTTTACATTGTCTTTTATGATATGCTTTTATTCTTTGGATTTTGACAGTTCTGTTATTCTAATACTGTTTTGCAGGCGACTTTCACAAATGAAAGAGGCATTCCTTATGGAATTGGAAGCCTCTCACAAACGACTGGAAAAAGGAAGTACCCAGGAACCTCGGCAACATACAAGGGTCTCGAGGAGCAGCTTCAAGAAGCTCAACGCCTAATAGAAGAACAAGCAGATCAGAACTCAAGGCGTGAGGCAGAGCTTCTCAAAGTTTCTGCTGAGCAACAAGCCAGAATCGACAAGTTAGCTCTGGTGGAAAGGTACTTGACTCAAACTGATCCAGGGTTCTTAGATTTTGTGGCTGCAAATCAAGTTTCAAGTAATCCAATGCCTTCACCTAATCACTCTACAACTCCGTAGGTTCTGGTTGGCCTCTGTTTTTCTTTGCTCCTTTATTCTCTTTAAGAACTTATCACAATGATATGCTATGTATTATTTGGGTATTTTGATCACAATGTTTTGGTACAATGTCTATTTTGGTATTTTGGAACAATGCCTATGTTTAATGTAATATATATTTGCTTTTACAAGTTCTTCTAATTATTTGATTTCGAGTTTAGCTTTTTGGTGTAATGAACAAATTTGATCAAATGAAAATAGGAAATATAATGGATTACCAAACCTGAATCCGTTTGATCTATGTAGTCGCAAATTCGTCACAACTTCGTCGTAAAGTAGTGACGACTTCGTCAGAAATCAGTCGTTAAACCATAACAAAACATCACGTTTTTGGTGATATCAGTCTTCAAACAGTCGCTAAAGTGAAAGCAAAGTAGTCATGATTCAGTCGTTATATACTGCGACTATTTTGCGACTGAATTTTCACGACCACTAAGCAGTCGCAAAATGGTCACAAAGTTCGCAACTAATTAGCGACTGCATTACACGACGTTCCGACGACCGAATCAAAAGTCGCTAATTAGTCATAACTGCAGTCACTTATTAGTCGTTAAATTAACTACTAAGTGCCGACTATTTAACGACTGAATGACGTAGTCGTTAAGCAGTCGCGAATTAGTCATTAGTTTGCGACTGATTAGCGATTCTTTATTTTAGTGACGTTAAATTAACGACTAATTTGTTTAGTCACTACTCAGTCGCAAAACCACTTATAGCGACTGATTTGCGATTGATTTGTTCGTCGCTAAAAACCTGTTTTCTTGTAGTGCCTTCGCTTTGTTTGGATCCATGATGCTTGGCTTGTAGAGACAGAGAAGCTCAAGATGAGCGATCAATCCTTCTCGCCACATTAGGTAATCACCAGATCCATCAAATTTATCGACATCGTACTTAGATGACGACGACATCGCACCAGATCGCTGAGCTGCTGTGGAACCTGGATCTGATACTACTTGTTGGTAAACCATCTCCGATCACTTCTATGAAGTCGCCGATTAAATTCCGATCACGATTCTAATTTGAATTAAGAACTAGATTGAACTTGCGAAAATAAAAAACAACATCAAGAAATTAACGTGTTCGGCCTCCACCGTCAATGCGACTGCAGCCTACTCACGCCGGGACCGCTTTCCTGAAAATCCATTACGTCGGAGAATATTACAGAGTTTCTCGAGATTTTCTCTCACTTGTTACAGATTGTTCACTCTCTCACTAGAACTCTCTCTACAAGAAAGAAATCTCTCACTCTACACGATACACTCTCGCAAGCCAGCTAAGTATACCGATGCTTGAAGACGCCGTTCACCGTTGACCTTAAATCCTTTGCAACTTAACGTCGGCTTTGACTTATCCGAGATGAAGAAGACCAGAGCTAGGCGACGTCGTTTCCAGCTTCACCCTTAGAAGCCCAACACACAACCTCCGAGGCCCAAATGATCTAAGTCCATTAAGCTCAACAAAGTATTAGCACTGTTTCTGGCAATTGAATTCGTAATTAACTTTATAAATCCTACCCAACAGTAAAGCGTACCCAACACTAGGCCAACAGATTCAAGAAACATGGACGGGTGGAAAAACGAGATCAAAATGGCCGTGGAATCATCATCATCCATTAGAATCTAGTGACAATCACATCATTTTTCCCATACTCATTTTCTGCAATGGCTTTGTGTATTGCTAACCTTTTACATCCTCTTTACTTTCTTAACGCTATACGATCACGTGCAGAAGGAAATAAAAAAATACCATCAATGACATTATTTTGAGTATCACATTTGTAGTTAAACAGAGTTTACCTACAACTACACAAGTGATACTCCGGAAGTTTTAGATAAGCTTTTCCAAGTTGATCCCCTTAACAATAATATCATATCGAGCACATGTGTTTCAAAAAAAGTTTTTAGATAAACTTAATGCTTCCATTTAATGAGCTGTGTAATAAGCTTGTGCCCATGTCAATCAATCAAAAACAGTTTTTTCATAACAAAATAACCAAAACTATTTGCGCACACCAAACAAAAGAAAACGAAAACAACTATTAACATCATAGGAAAGAGTAACACGTATCCATGCGAATGGAATGGTACGACCAAAGAGTTGCCCAACCAAGTTGCCTTGGCCCAGTGGTAATTTCTAAATGGGAGAGTCTTGGGTTTGAGTCCCCTTGCCACCTAACCGCATTTCAAATTTGGAATATTTCCACCCAATTGCAAAACCTCGTGGGATTAATCTTTGAACCTAAACAACTTTTGGGATGTTCCATGTCAAACAAAAAAAAGGGTTGCCACCAACAGAGGAAAAAACACATTTATATAAGATTAAAGCGAAACAAAAAAATTGGAAACGTCATGACTACTAGTCCTCAGGATCAGGATTCGCTCTTCTGCTCTTCCGCCTTTTGAGACAAGGTTTGATCAGACGTTTCTTTCGCTTATTGGCAAGAAGAAGTGCCCTTTTGCTGCAAGCAGAACAAGGTGGAGACGGCATTACTGGTTCTGGTCTCATGCTGAGGCCATCGAGAGGGCTTCCTCCAGTTGATAGGCTTTTCCAAATCCATATTAGGTTTGTATCCACATTTAAAACCATCGAGATCTTAATAGATTACAAATAATCATCTTACCATGTTATTTTTTTATTTGTCAAAACATCAATATCCTTGAAAAAAAAGAAATGTTATATTTTTTTGCTTATAAATATAGAACGAAATTTTTTTGTCTTAAATATTACTGTAAATCTATTATAAACAGCAGTGGTTGGAAATAGAAATGAGGAGTACTATAACTGCCAAGAGCAACTAGGTAATACTATGAGTAAAACTTGTAATCCTAAATGGTGTACGTAGTTCTGAGTGTACGTGGAGGAGGAAGGGGATCGCTACATGCTTTCAGACGAAAAACAGTGTCGCGTGTCATTACACTACGTACAATATACATCACCTAAGCTTCGTCGTGGGCCTCTTGAACGTGATTCACGTGTTGCCCAGCTGTCCAAATTAAATGACATGCAATCAATCAATATTTCTTTAACCAAACTGATGATCATGCATGCATCTATTGATCTATATATTAACAACTAGGAGAAAGAATTCAAACTCGCCTTTTCATTATAGATTCTCATGTTAAGAACAAAAGAAACAAAAAAAGAAGAAGAAGAAGAAGAAAATGCCTCCTAACAGACTCAACGACGTCGCCGTTACTGATTTCGTAGTAAACCAACGTAACGGAGTGAAAGGTCTCGTCAACGTTATATCCCCAAAGACATTGCCCTCACGATACATTCAACTTCCGGAGAATAGAGTCACCACTGAGAAACTCATAATAGAAACCGGAAAAGGAAAAGACGGTTTATTATCACCGGTGATTCCGGTAATAGACGTTTCTGACTGGAAAAATCCAAATGTTGCGGAGGAGATCTGCGAGGCAGCCGCAACGTTAGGGTTTTTTCAGATAGTGAACCATGGAGTGTCGGTGGATGAGCTAAACGAGCTGAGAGCTGCTGGTCGTGGCTTTTTCGATTTGCCGGCGGAGGAGAAGAAACGATATTGGAAAGGAAGTTCGGTGTCGGAAACGGCTTGGTACATGACAAGTTTCAATCCTTACGAGGAGGCTAAGTTGGAGTGGAGGGACTTTATCAAGTTTGAGTTTCGTCCCCACTTGGTCGACTTTGCTGCCACGTGGCCTTCTGTGTGCAGGTATACGTACTAGCTATTTGGTTAGATAAATTTCAGAGGTTTATAAATCTAGGCCTTGTGGTTTTAGTTTTTTCAAAATTTGATTTTATGGCCATTGAAACTTTTGGAATATCGTCTTCTTATATAATCGAAAACCTAGTTTTTAAGCAAATTGTCCACACAAACAATGTTTTGGGGTTTTTTGTCTTTAAAAAAAACCATCACTCATCTTTCCTTAAAATTTATATATATTTGTTAGTTTTTGTAAATAACAACAGTTGAAGTTACGTGTAAAGAAATAAGAATAGTTAATGTAGATGAAGGTTTTAACAAGGATATGGATATGTGGCAGGGACGAAGTTGTAAAGCATTCTCATAGGATGAAGCCAATAGGTAAGAATATTCTTGAAATACTAATGAACAATCTAAACGCAAGCATAGACCACTCCAAAGAACAAATCCTAATGGGAACTTTGAGGATGAACATCAACTTTTATCCCGAGTGTCCCGAGCCGAAGCTCGCCGTAGGAACTGGTCGTCACTCCGACATCAACACCCTCACGCTTCTTCTCCAAGACGACATAATAGGCAGCCTTTATGCTCGATACGGTGACAAGTGGCTCCATGTCCCTCCAGTTAGGGGAGCAATTGTGGTTAACATTGGAGACATACTACAGATTTTGAGCAACGATCGGTACAAGAGCGTGGAACATGTGGTGATGGCTAATCAGTTTCTTAGCCGGATTTCGTTTGCGTTTTACTGTGGACCGAATAATGATTCTGCTATCGAGCCACTAGCTGAGGTGCTAGAGAATGGTGAGAAACCATTGTACAAGAGCACTGTATATTCGGATTACATGAAACATTTCTTTGAAAGGCCACATACCGGTAAAAAAACTATCGAATGGATCAAGCTTCCATGAAAAGTAAAAGATGATGCTAAACGCATTTTGTAGTATATTTAATAGTGTTCTTTTATCACTATTCTGTATAGCATATGCATGGAATATTTTTTTTTTAAATCAGTTTATGTTATACAGTTTTTAATATTACTAGATATTTTAACATTCATCTTTTTTAAAAAAAAAATTCTGGACTTGTTCATCTCGATGTCAAACATTATCAAAGTTCCAAGTTGGGTACAAATCTCTTTGTAGTTCTGTTGATAAATTAAACCGATGTAATGAACAAATTAAATTGGATAATGAAAAATAGTTGTTGAGAAAGAAAAAAAAAAAGTGAATTTCATTCGTTAACAATTTTTTCTTAATATCTTTTTCATCATTATTAAAAAAAAATTATAACTTACACCAATAATTATTTCACCTTACAATAACTTAACTACAAAAAGTGTGTTTAAAATCACTTATTTTAAATATTTTCATTACTTACATCATTTATAAAAGTGACTTTGAAAGTGATAATGCAAATATTTTACTTCACTTGTCATAAATATTGTAATTGATTTTAATATGTGTCAGTTGCAAATAATTGATGTTAACTTTTGCATCAGTTAATATAAATGATGTTATTATTTGTATCATTTATAAGTAATTGATGTTAAAATTAAAATCAATCTTTATAAGTGATTCTAATAATTATTTTTGAAATAACTATTTGATTAATGACAAATTTATTATTTTAAATTATATTCGTATTTTTTTATTAATTAATTATTATTTTCTTTATAACAAAATATTTATCTATTAAGATCTTGATAAGATAAGAATTAAAATTTAAAAACAAAAATACATCAGAATATAAATTAAAAAAATTGATATCACAAAAAAAAAATTGATAAGTTAAGAACTGAGATCACAATCAAACTATAATTTTTTTATATTTCATAATTCCATTGTATTCTGAACATTGTTCCTTCATCTTCAAAACTTCAATATCTCTTGTTTTCTTTACTTCATCCACTTGTAAAATAAGGATAAGTTCTCCACGTCTAGAAAATCATTTGAGTTACGATCGTGTATGAATACATCTTCATTCTACAAAATTCAAAATATAATAACATAATTATAAATCTCTGAAAAAATCCATGATAATTTTAACTGGCTTTAGAACAACCATTAGTATAAGAGAATTTTTTTTTGGGGTACTTTTATGTAATGAAAAAACCATATGAAGGTTTCTTAATGAATATTTTAATAGTAAATGAAAATTAAGAAACTTATTTAACTCTGCTTAAAATCATGTTTTTTGCAGGGTTTCATGAAAAAAGAAAAAATTGTTTCACTGCCTCGAAGAAGAGAAATGAGTCAGTCTTTTTTTGGCTCTTGCTCTCTTGCACTGTGTGACACCTGTCATTAAGGAACCTGACATTAAAGAACAATTTTTTGAATCTCTATTTGATCACACTTGGCAGTAGAAACCCTTTTTTGTAAGCCGAAAATAAGAAAGGTTCCTTGTTGCTTATTTCATTTCTATTTTTTTAGCCCTTTTATTCAATAAGAAACCCAACTAGAAACTGCAGTAAACATGTTCAGAGTATAAAAATTAAAATAACATAGAAAATATTTTAAAGAATCAGAACAGAAGAGGATATAAAATGAGAGAATATATGCATCTAAAGGTTTTAAAAGATGAACGAGAATTCATCGTTTTCGAAACCTATATTTTTAAAGACTATGTCAGAAACTATTTTCATAAATAATATAGCAATAAGGATTGTTAGTGGAAGAAGAAGAAGACTGTGGGCGTACATAGAAAGAGGAGATTGTGGGCATACGTAGAAAGAGGAGATTGGGGGTATGTAAAAAAAATCTATTTAGTTAATTTTGAGACAAAAACGGAGATAGAAATATAATTTTGGCAACAAATAAATATATTTTTTAATGGCACCACTATTTTCTAAAACAATTAAGGCAATAAATGAGAAATTAACTACTGTTAATGGAGAAAATTTGACATATTCAAGCTGATTATTTTTTTCGCCTAGATATTTAACTAGATATTTATAATGACTGGTATATATATATAGCTTTTAATTAGTAGGTTCATCATTTGGTCAATACTTAATACTTATAAAAAGTTTATAATTTTACTAAAAACATCGATCTAGTTAAATGATTTACTTAATATATATATATATCTATAGGCTATTTATTAATAATTAAATTGATAAGTATTCATCATTAATAGAAATTTAATTTCTGAAAATAATTTTAATATTTGATTTTATAAAATTCATTTTTTTTACAAAATCTGAAAAATGGTAAGAAAATGGTAGGAGTAATTCGTAAGAAATATGTAGGTAATGTTTCGTAAAAAATTGGAAGGAATTCAACCGAAAGAAAATGGAAGTAATTTGGAAGTATTAATCTTCGGTCTGTTTCTTTGAAGTACTTAATTTATATTTATTGCTGCCTCATGAATTTATGTTTATCATGGTGGCTTATTATTGCAGGAATGTAATAACATTTCAAAAAAAAAAAAATTGGCCAATTCACTTTTTAATAATTACTAGGAGAGAATCCGTGCGTATATTTTACTTATATTTTTAATTTTCTTGTTCAACTGTCAATTTTTTTTTTGTGATTTTTTAAATATTTTTATGACTCTAATAATATTTCTATCTATTATTTTTTAACTTTTTTTTATTGAAATCTCAATCTAGCAATAATTTTGAAATCTCAATCTAGCAATCTCAAAACTTATTCTCCAGTTGTTTGAAATTCTTAACCTATTTTTTTATTTTTTATCTCATAACTTGTTTTTCGATCATTTTTATTTTCTGCAGTTTACCATATTCATGTTTTGTTTTCACATATATCATTGATTCTATTTATTTGTTATCATATTCTTTTTCTTTTCTATTTTGTCATTTTTTCTCTTTATTTTTGATAATTTATTTTCTTTTCGATTGTTTAATGAATGTTCTTTTGTGCTTTGTGGTTTTCTAACTCTAAAAAACTTGTTCTTCAGTAGTTGTTTGAAATTTTCTTATCTATTATTCTCATTTTTGGTTTTATTACTTATCATTTTTCTTTATTTTTTATAAATAAATTATCTTTATTAATTAATATAAATAAATCACATAGAAAAAAAAGAGTAGACAAAACTAAAATCTCAAATTATTTTTGTTTATACATTGTGATGTTTAATTTAAATTTAAATTTAGCTTAAATTATTCTGATGATTTAATATTTTTAGCATAATGAAAATTAAATTATAGTTTGTTTATGCATTAATAGTAGAGATAATTTTTGGGACAGGTGTCACTCTTTCCAGCGCTGATGTGTCACTCAGCTAGAGAGAGTTGAACAACTTTTATATATAAGATCTTTCCATCCAACATGTTTTTATTTGAAATTGTTATTACATTCCCTCAATAATAAGCCACCATGACAAACATAGATTCATGAGGCAGCAATAAACATAAATTAAGCACTTTAAAGAAACAGACCGAAGAAAACAATGCAACTTCCTCCATGTTAAACTGAGAAACAGACCAAACTAAGAAACCTCCTCCATGTTAAACTCTTCTGGTTTAGAACACTACAAAAAAACATCTCATATTCCAACGAAAATCCTGACAAAATATTTGTTAGGAAATTTTTATAACTAATTTTCTAAGCAATTATGACGAAAAATAGAAGTGATGGAAAATTGATAGGAAATTTTCTACGAAAATAAAGCGTCAAAAATGGTAGGGTATTTCCTACCAATAACCTACCATATTTATATTCGTAGACAATTTGGTCAAAATTTGGAAGAAAAATAATAGGATCTAATTGACCGTTATGATGGTGAATATTTTGTCAGAAATTTTCTACCTAATTTCGATGAAATATTATCTGTAAAAAAACTGTAGGAATTCTGTAGGAACATTTCACCTTTTGGTTTGTCCCACATCGAGAACTTGGGATAATGTAGATAATGAAGCTGCACTATAAATAAGAGTATTTCATCTTCTCTTTAATTACTCTTCGTCTTTTCTATATACTAGGTGAATACCTGCAAATAACACACAGATTTTTCTTTTCAACTATTTCAAATTTATATTTTTATATTTTCATAAAAATTAATATAATCATCATTTGTTATTTGTTAGTATGCTATATATTAAATGAAAATGTAGTTTAATGAAAAAATCCGATTTGTTATAGTTTAATTGGCTTAGAAAAGTTCCTTTGCCAACGTCAATGATGACATTTATTCCACGTCAAATGTGACATGGCAAGGGTGCTAGCTCTGCGCAATTTCATTGGATGCTGATGCTGATGTGTAATTTATGTCCAAGTTTTTCTGATTTAAAGAAAAACAAAAAAAAGAGAAAATCATAAACGGATAAACACGCGGATCTTTATACCCGACCCGGCCCATTTATCTGTATTTTAAAAACACCATTTGGCCTTATACGTCATACAAGCCCATTTATAAATTTTTTGAAAATTTGGTTTTTAAAAACTATTTATCACTTATATAGAATATTTCGATATTAAATTCTATTTATTTAGTAAGATTTTGTATCTAAATTACCGCTCATCTATGGCAATTCATTCCATTTGAATATTTGAATTTAAAAACATTTCCCGAACTATACCTACTTCTTCTAACTACAATACGAATATTCTCTAATTTGAATTTAATAGTTTAAGGTTTCTTCAGCTCAATTGATTTCCATATATATAGCATCATACCAAAAGGCCGAAACAATACCATCCTCTTCTCAAAATTTCTATAGTACGCCTATATAGAGCTCCTAATGTTCCTTTTGCTAAATTAGATCCTACTACCATTCAGCAAGTTAGGGCTAAGATATGTTACATCTGGAAAGTGATTAACAAACATTCATGTTTTAGAGTCGAAATGATTTTAATTGATGAGGAGGTACGTCATTTACTAACTCTTAATTTTTTATGCCATCTTGATTTTATATTTGAACTACATAGTGATAAAAACTTCGACATAATAGGGATCAAGGATTCAGGCTGCCAGCAATGAACAAATGTTCGAAAAACACATGGGCCTTCTTATTGAAGGGAAAACTCTTTCTATTACTTGCTTTTTATTAAGAGAGTACCATGGTGTTTTTAGG